TATTCGAACCACAAAGCTGGAACCTTTACATGATCAAGTGTTGCTCCAGCTCGATGTAGTGCAGGTTGAGGTCAGTTTGAAAGAAATCAAAGGTGAGTTTATCCCCTCTCTCACAACAGTCAAACACTCCATGGATGTATCATTGTGTTCAACATCTGTGCTATCCGATGATGATGATGATGATTTTTGCGAGGAAAATAATAGAACAAAAACGACTCATATAGATACTAAACAAAGACCCGAATTTGAATCTGAATTCACTGGTTTGATGGGCACCCAAACTCAGATTGCCAGCACACTCACCACGTCTGAAATTTCACCGTTGTACCTCTAATTACTGAAATTTACAGACTTGCGGTTTTATCTGATGAGAGTACGTACGAAGGCGATAATCGGTTAGCCTTGGTACCTTACGTATATGTCGAGGTGGATTCAATTGCATGCAGAGAGGTAGCTGTGCAACAAGTTTCTTGCTTTACTGCTAAGGATGGGCTGGATCAAAATATAGATTATGACAGTGGACTCCTAAAAAAGATGGGTCGTAATAGAAATCTTCAAGCACAGGCTCAGAAACAAATCTTGATTCCACAAGCATTGGGCCATCTTTTAGGAGGAGGAAATCACGTCAAATGGGAAATCTCAGCGGTAAGCAATCAGAGACCATAATTGTTGAATACTCAGTTTCTGATAATGGGATAAAGAATAGAAATGCTATTATCAAAGCTGGTAAGGAATTGATTGGTGAGGATGAGGCAAGTAGTTCAAGATACAGACCCAAGGAATTGATTGGTAAGGATGAGGCAAGTAGTTCAAGATACGGACCCGACATCAATGCTGGTGATGAAGCAAATGAGCCTACACATTCTGATACCTGGGCCGAAGCCACTACTTGCTGGGAAGTTGGAAAAGCTATTCTTCAAGGGCATGACGATAGCACACTCATGACTCAGACACTGCAGGGATTCCTAGACTAGGAGCAGGAAGAGTGGATCCTAAGGAAGAAGGCGTGATTTGCTTCCATAAATAGTCTGAAGGTATGGTCTCTGTAATCATTCCTATGGGTAGTATAATTGTATAGAATGTGTGTGGCTTAGGGGGCAGAGAAAAAAAAAGATGCATGAGGAATTTTGGTACAAAATTTAATCTTCATATCTTGGGTATTCTGGAAACAAAATTGGAAACTGTAAATGATTTCACTATTACTGCTATATGGGGTATATGGGGTCGTCATCCTAGGGGTTAGTATGCAGTTCCCTCTTTAGGCCTTTCAGGAGGGATTTTATGCATATGGAATCCGGATCTTTTTTGTGTCTCTAGCTGTAGTGTTGCTATGAATAGCTGTATTTTGCATATTAAAGGCACCTTCACTCGATCCAATCTAGATTGCCTAGTTTCTTTTCTATATGCTCCGAATGTTGGAAACCTGAAGAATGAGCTGTGGACTTATCTTGTTACATTCAGGGATAGTGTTAGCAAGCTGTAGTGTCTTGCAAGTGATTTTAAAGAAACTTTATTCCCATCAGATAGGAAAGGCGGTTCATAAATAACATCTTCCATGACAAGATTTAAAAATTGCATTGATGGTTGTAATCTTATGGAGCTCCCCTTAAATGGGAGAAAATTTACATGGTCTCGAGGTAATGCTGCTAGTCGCATTGATAAAATATTTTTATTAGGGGATTGGTTTCAGGCTTTTCCATCTTCTACTTTATTTGGTCTCTCAAAATATTCATCTGATCATAGGCCTCTACATCTGTTGCTAGACTCTACAAATTGGGGCCCAAAACCTTTCCGCTTCATGAATTGCTGATGGCTTATGTCTAATTTTAAGAGTATGATTCAGAGCTTTTGGAGCTCAATTACGGTTTCAAAAACTGGCTCAAGGAATATGGTCCCAACTCTAAAGATGTTGAAAGAGAGATGTCGGTAGTGGAGTAAAGCTACTGTGGGAAGCATGAATAACAGAATTGAAGATCTAGAACTTGAAGCTGACTCAATGGATCGTCAAAATGAGTGCAGGGTCTTGACTGTTGATGAACTGATTAGAAGTAATTTCATTGCCTCCCGACTTAAAATCCTGTATAGAGCTCAAGAGTCTGCCTAGCATCAAAAGTCAAGAATTCAGTGGTGTAAGCTTGGAGATAAAAATACCTAATTCTTTCATTTAGCTGCAACAACAAGACAGAAAAAGAATCAGCTTGCTTGCCTGAAGGTTGATGGACAGATCCTATCTAAACCAATTGATGTGAAGCTAGCTGTCTTTCACTTTTTCCGCAACTTATACTCCCACCAGAACAGACCTAGAGCTTCATGTACAAACTTGGAATTCTCAAGGCTGAAGCCTTCATCCTTGGCTGCTCTTGAATTGCCATTTTTTGCAAAAGAGGTTACAGCAGCTGTATGGGATTGTGATGGAAATAAAGCTCCAGGTCCTGATGGCATTAACTTCCTTTTCATCAAGAAAGCATGGAACATTATAGGTGAGGATATTATCCAGATGGTTGATGAATTCTATCAGACTAATCTCCTTCCTGCAGGTATCAATAGCACCTTTGTTACTCTTATTCCAAAGATTAAAGGTGCTAACAAGCTATCAGATTTCAGACCTATTAGTTTGGTGGGCAGCCTATACAAGATCTTCTCAAAGATTTTAGCAACTAGGTTGAAACATGTTATGCCAGAGATCATCTCTCATCATCAAAATGCTTTCATCAAAGGGAGGCAAATTTTAGACAGCATCTTGATTGCAAATAAGGTCCTTTTTTTCAGCGAGAAAAAAAGGGGTAAAGCTTATCTTTTCAAATTGGATTTTCATAAAGCCTTTGATTTAGTGTTATAGGAATATATTAATGAATTCATGGCTAGTATGAGCTTTGGTAGTAGATGGCGAGGGTGGATTATGCAATGCATATCAATGGCAAAAATGTCTATGCTTGTTAATGGGTCTCCCACGGAAGAATTCTGCTTAGCAAAAGGCCTGTGCCAAGGAGACCCTCTCTCTCCATTTCTCTTCAACATTCAGTCCAGGGCTTGAGTTGTATGTTGCAGCGTGGCTATGATTTGGGTTTGACTTCGGGTATAAACATCGGTAATTCAGGGCTTGTCATATCTCACTTACAGTTTGCGGACGACACCCTTATGTTCAGTTCAGACTCTTTACATAGCATACAGAACATTAAATGTATCTTATTATGCTTTGAACTTGTATTGGGGCTGAAGGTCAATTTTTATAAAAGCAGTATTGTGGGTGTGGGTGTGGCAGCTCATACATGTAACTCCATAGCTCAGCTTCTCAGATGTAAACAGGATCAGCTGCCTCTCATGTATCTTGGGCTCCCCATCGGTGGAAATTTGGGTAGAACTACAATGTGGAATCCTATTTTGCGCAATATCAGTTGTTAGTTGGCTTCGTGGAAAGGTAGGTTCTTATCTATTGGGGGTCGTTTGTGCTTAATTAAATCTGTACTCAGCAATCTCCCCATCTACTAGCTATCTATGTTCCCCATGCCTACTACAGTAGCCTCCAAAATTGATCAGAAACTTTGATCCTTCCTCTGGTCTAGAAATGAGGAAAGACACAAAATATGCAATGTCAGCTGGGCCACTGTTACTCTTCCAAAACATTCAGGTGGTTTGGGATTGGTTCCATTGTATGAGAAATAATAAGTTGCAGAATATTGTGAATGACCAATCCCTTGTTCTTATCGGAAATGGCAAGAACACTATGTTTTGGCTTGATTGCTGGCTTAATAACTACTATTTAGCAGAGCAATTCCCTACTCTTTTCCACTTATCCAATGACAAAGCTGCCACCATTGCTAAGATAGGAATGTGGGAAGGGTATGAGTGGATTTGAGTTTTTTCCTGGATACGTTCACTATGGGGGCATAACATTGGCTTGCTTGATCAACGCTATACAATCCTATTGATAGTTCACATGGACAAAGATGGAGATGATAGACTAATATGGAAGGACAATAATTCAGGAAGATTTTCAGTGAAATCTCTCTATGGATTGTTAAGTCCAAAGCGTTCCACAAACAATGCCTTCTCGTTTGCTGAAATTTAGAAAGGTATTGTTCCTCATAAGGTAGAGATCTTTTGCTGGATGGCTATCATTAATAGAATTAACACGTGATGTATGTTGGTTCGAAGAGGTGTATTGGTTAGCTCGTAATCAAATTGTCCTATCTGCCTATTGGAGGCAGAATCGATGGACCATATCCTGCTACACTGCTATAAGCATTGGCTCATTTGGTCCAAAATCATTAAGTGGTGGGGTCTAGTTTGGTGTTGCCCAAAAAGCTTCTTAGATTTGTGGACTCAATGGACTTCTATGGTGCATGGTCATTTTCAGATGAAGGCATGGTTGATGTTGTTTTTCTTAGTGGCATGGTCTCTTTGGCTCTTTCGAAATGATCTGATTTTCCAACAGAAGACTCCTGACTATGATTCAATATTCTTTCTTATTATCACCCGTCTATGTCTATGGCTAAAAGCTATCCATTCTGATTTCCCATACTCTCCTACAGATCTGATCAGATCGGCAGATGGCTTGCTTCGGTGGTCCAACGCTCACTCTTCTAGGATTAATAATATATTGTCTCCTCCTATGATTAATAGCCTCAAATGGAATGTGGATGGCTCCTCTTTTGGTAAGTCAGGCCCCTCTGGAATAGGTGGTGTGTTGCGAAATCACCATGGCCATCTTCTCGGTATGTTCTCTATTCCAGTTGGTATTTTAGACTCTAATATTGCTGAGTTAAGGGCTATTGTCAAAGCCATTGATCTATCATCATCTAATTGTCTCTTCCACCATCAACACCTCATCATAGAATCTGACTCTATCAATGCTATTACCTGGATGACGAAGCCTCATAGCCATCCCTGGAAGCATCATAATTTGTTCTCCTCTATTAATAGACTAACAACATATTTTAGTTCAATCTCCTGCTCATATATATTTCGTGAAAGTAATTGCATGGTAGATTGCATGGCTAAACAAGGAGTGCGGAGATCAAGTGAATTTGTTGCCTGGCTTTGACTTCACCATTTTTCTGTGGCCTTGCTCTTGTGTCTTCTACCATTTTATTTTTGAGTTATTTTGTTTTGTTTTTTAGAGGAATGTCTAGTTTTGAGCTTATTCGGATGGATATTCTACGGTTCTCTTTGCTTCTGTTTTTCTTAATCTGCGCTTTATCCTATTTATGGCTTTTTGTCATAGTAAGATATTGTATAGCTTCTGTACTACTCCCGCCAGACTTTGGCATTTAAATAATATACACATCTTTCAAAAAATATAAATTCGAGAAGCACTAGGCCTAGACCTTGCCTTTCTAATCCTTTTGATTAATGAAATATTTATCCAAAAAAGATTCCATCATCACCAGCGACTCATTTTTTATGGTAAGTTTACAAAATGACCCTCCCAAAATAAAAACTACACATTTTGTCCCTTCCAGTGCTCCAACTTTGGACTCTTCCCTGTCTCACATGACGTAGGAACAAATATATTGTTAATTAACCCCTCACCACTCCATTCCCAGTTGTTGTCGAGTTAATCAAAATTGCGTACCCACATTTGATCTACTATGTTTTACTTCAACAAACCCCAATTTAACCCACAACATATTATCTCATTATTAATCAGGTTCTAAATCTTTTGATTTTATCAATTTTGCCCAAACATGATAATCACTAGACAATATTACCCCTCAATCCATCGAAATAGCTTACTATTTTTCTCCAATTTTCCCTTTCTCTTTAAGTTCTCTTTACAAAAATTAAGAACTAATTTGAAAATAAAAATTTTTGGGCAACATTTTTATTTAAATGAAACGATATTTTTGTACTAAACGACATCATTTTGTTCAATGTTGTATATATAAAAAAGATAGAACTACAAAATATTGTTGTTTTGATGGCATTGTTTGTTATCTTCTTTCTCGGGAAGAAGGTTTTTTGTCCCTCCTTTATAGTGCCTCTCTTACCTCTCTTTCTCTCTCTCTCTCTCTCTCTCCCCCACCTATATGCCTAAGACCCCTACACAACCCACGCCTCTCTCGTAGCCTACCACTATGACAAAAGGGTAAATAGGAGAAGCCTTACAAGCAGTTGTATAGCAGCCGCCGAGCCACCCTATCCCTTTGGCGTGACTGGACAGGTGTAGAGTGGCTCAAGCTTCTTGTGCCCCTATATATACCCTGCCTACCAATAGGTGCGGGGGACAACAAAAAAAGAAGAAGAAACTAATGAAGGAGATGAAAAAGATGAAAAAAGAAAATGAAAAAAATAAAAGAAAATGAAAAAGAAAAGAATGAAGAAACAAAAAGGAAAGGAAAGAGAAAAAGCATAACAGAAAAGAAAAGGGAAAAGAGAAGCATGTGCCTTGCTTAAAGAAGAAAAGGAACCTCCTCACCATTCCTCTCCCTCACTAGTTACAACCACCATTTCTTTCCGTCACCACCATAACAATGCCACCATGAGCCATCATTAATGCCAGCAACAACGCTCCCTCACTCCAGGTAATCTTCTTCCCCTTTCTATTCTATCTTCTTACCTATTTTTCTTCTCCATTTCATTTGCATGCAATATGTGAGTAACTCATATTCTGTAGCAAATGAATTATAATTAACTATTTACTATACAGATCACAGTAAGTAGTTAATGGAAAGTTTAGCCCACATGGCTGGGTTAGGCATAACTTTTATACGGTTTGTTGGGCCTTCTATACGCATAACTTTTTTAGGCCGACCTTAGCCTAACCAAGGTGTGCTCAGTCTATATAATTGGGTGTGGCCCCATCCAATATATTATTATATAATATAATAAAAATATAAAAATATAAAAATCCTTTTAATTGTTTTTTTTATTTTTCTTGTGAATTTTTCTACCATTCTTGCTTAATATTAGTTTATATTTTTATACTGTTAATATACAAGCCAGTGATGGAAATGAGTGCACCTGTTTCTGGAGATTGCGAAGAAGGTTGCAATGCTGGTGTGGCTACTTTGGTTCAGCTGCTTTCCACTCTTTCACCTGGTATGCTTGCTGTCCCTTTTTTTTTATTTCTCAATTCTTGAGATGAAGGGCTACTGTTTCTTTCTTTGGTTATGTTCTATCTCCTTTGGTTTTGAGATGAAGGCCAGCAAATAATGGTGATGCTGGTTGTCAATAATACTTAGTTCAGTGGCGTTCTTTTTTTCTCTTATAAGGATGAAGACAATGGCAGGGTTGATCTGTAACTCTCCTCTGCCTTTCTCTCCTTCTTTGTGTAGGATAAAGATAAAGATTGCTTCTCTGTATTTTAAAAGGACTAGGATGCTGGTGTTTCACACTTTCATTTCCTTCTTTGCAGGCGGGCGTTTCGTGCTTTAAAGACGAAGATGATGAACAACGCCTGATTGAAATGGTGTTGTTTTTGGGGTTGGAATGGTTATTTCCAATCTAGTCCTTGAAGTTTCTAAATCCTTGCATTCAAACCCCTGGTCTTTTAATTTTCTAGATTTACCCTCCTTAAAATTAAATTAAAAATGAATGGGCAAAATTTAGGTTATGACTTTTATTTTGATCAAGAAGTTGCATCTTTTACTCATGAGCTCAAAATGGGTTTTCAAACTAGTTATTTCATGAGATTAAATATTTTGATCTACATTTATCTCTTATTTTTCTGTTTCTCTTCCGGTTATTATTAACATTTATTTATTTATTTATAAAGATGATTATTAGATATTTAGATAAACTTTTTGATTTACACTTATAATTTATATTATTAAGTACAAAAAACATATCAAAATAATTTGTACACTCAAGTTGTTTTTGAGAAAGAAAAATCATGACTCGCTACAAAATGCATATCAAATCAAATTTTTAGTTGCCCTTTAATTAATTTTTTTTCACTCTTATTTTTTAGATCTTTTTGTGTAATTGATTTGTTTTTATTGATTTTATTTGACATTTGATTTATTAGAGATTCTTATTCATATGATCTTATCTCTCTCTATTTTTTTAATATTGTTTTTTTAAATGTGTTTTTATCAAGGTTTTATACTAATTCATTTAGAATCGTTTTCTTTTGTGTTTTATACAAATGCAATTTAATTTTAAAAATAAAAAATATTTATTTTTAAATAATATTGATGATATATTCGGCCTTGCATAATATTGTTTTTAGACATGAGTTTATTTGTCAATTTCATTTGTGTTTATCTAATCATGAGTTTTTGAGATTATAGATTTATATTTTACTAATTTTAATAAAACACAATCAAATAAAACTCTCATTTTATATGATAGAATAACTTAATTTACATCATTAATTTTATCGATTTCTATTTTGATTATTGTTAATGATTTTTTTTCCTGTTTTGTTTACGTTGCTTGTTGTAACCCAATTTTGAATTTACTAAGATTTTTTTTAATGTTATTTTATTTTATTATTCATAAAAAATCCAAAAAAATTAGGGAAAAAAGTTTAAAATTTTAAAATGTATTTTAAAAAAATTTAAAAAAAGTTTATTATTTTAATATATATATATATATACTTGTAAATTTTTTTGCATGTAAAAAAAACAAAAAAACAAAAATAAATATAAAAGGAATAATGACGCAGGTCCAACAACTATCCTATCATGTCATCATGGGTTCAAAACCCGATACTCAAGTATGGATATATCTATTTCTCAACGATATTAAAATGATTTTTGTTTTATAAATAAATATTGTTTGTCGACACGTCTCTTTTATTTACAGAAAATGACCGATGTTAAAAATTTAAATACCAAATATAGATTATGTACATTATTTCTTTTGGTAACCTAAACGTAATTCTTCTTTTTAGGGACAAACATCAATATTTTAGATGAGTCTTCTATTTTTTAGGGACTGATGTCATTTTTGAAGTGTCTCCTATGAATATTGTTCGTCGACACGTCTCTTTTATTTACAAGAAATGACAAATGTCAAAAATCTAAATACCAAATATGAATTACATCTATTATTTTTTTGGTAACTCAGACATAACTCTTCTCTTTAGGGACAAACATCAATATTTTAGATCAGTCTCCTAGTTTTAGGAACTGATGTCATTTTTTACGTGTTTTCTATTTTTAGAAACCAACGTTAACCATCTTTTAAAAACAAAAATTGCAAATAAGCTCAAAATGTAATAGCATTTGAATCAAATAAAAAAAAAATAGACAAGTAAGGGTAACCTTTCTCGTGAAAGGATGTTTTAAGGGTGTTGTCTACCTTCCCTTAATCATAACTAACCAAGTACCTAAATTTCTAACTTGGGATTTCTAGTTCCCTCAAATTACTAGATGGCGACTCCAATAAAATATTTATGTCCCCCAATCAAGAAAAATCTTTCTTTTTGTTAAATAAACAAAAAAAACAGAGTCGTCGCCCGACGTTGTGTAGCAATAGAATGGCGACTCCACTGTGGATTTAGGGCTGAACCAACTGCTTGTGTTTACTTTTCATTTGCTCTTTCTTATTGTTATTTTTTTTTTGCATTTTATTTTATTTTTATTATTTATTACTGTAATTCTTTTTAATTTTCCATATTGCCACATGCATGCATGTTATTTATTTGTGTATTCACACACTTCACGGTAAACCCATCAAAGCTCTAAACCTAAGCTTATCCTTCTTAAGATTAGAAAAGAAAGATTCAAGTGGCAAGTGTGACTTTTGTCGACTGATGCTTATTTGAACTTTCGTTTGGATTGTAACTCACCCTATGCAATGGGTATTGTGGAATTTTTTTCCATACTCAAGTTGTATAAGGTTAAGAGGTCGATTACTTCACGGGTAATTCAAGCAATCTAAGAACCAAAGAATTTCTTGAAGGTAGACTAAACTAAGCCAAACTTTATGAGTTAGATCCTATCAAGTAGGATATATGCTTTAAGACACAAAAAAATACCAATGCATTAACATACATTTTTATATGCATTCCATATTCTCATTATATCTCTATTGATCCTTATAGGAAGTGTGAGATGGAAAAAACCAATACTATGAAGGAATTTTTGACTAGATCAGAATTGAGCCAACATGATGAAGAGGATTGTTTGCCATAAGAATTTGAGTCTCAATTACCAGCACAAGTTAAATTAGATGACAGACCACCACTTAGTACAAGACAACTACTAGACTGTTAGGAAA